TGGATTTCTCATTAGAATAAATTCTCCAAAATGGAACTACTGGAGTTTTTAACATTTTCAGTCTCACACTGTCAAACTGTCCTTCTTCGGGTTTGATAACTTATTCTGTTCCCAGTGGTCCACGATTGTTCCTCTGCCCAGAAGGAAGAGCAGTGCTGCTCTACGGCATATCCTCCCTTTAAAGGAAGGTGTCAGCAACCTGGCAATGCAAACCCTGACAATATGCCAAGATGGCAATACTCTGCCATCACAGACTGATTACAAACTATCTTGGGCTGTAAATTAACAACTCAACAACAGTCTATGCCAGATATCACCTGTCTAATCCATGCTCAACCCATTTGGATGGAAATCTGGCTTAAATACCTACAGGCCATTTTTGTAAAATGAAATGTCTTGTGGTAGCTGGGTGTGGCGGCCCAACAATGCCAACTACTCAGGAAGTTGAGGCAGGAGGTTCACAAGTTCAAGGCCAGCCTGGGAAACTTGGTGAGAACCTGTCTCAAAATAAAGTAAAAAAAGAAAAGGAGATATAGCTCATAGTAGAGCATTTGCCCAGCATATATGAGGCCCTGGATTTAATCCCTAGTACCATGCACACACAAAATCTTGTAGAGGAAAACCTCTGTGACCACAGTCATTCAAACTTAGGCAAATCAGCCAATTAGTGTGTTTCTGCTTACAATCCATCCCTAAGCAGAGTGATGTTCTCCATCCTAATCTCAGGGTCAGACCCTAGACTACCCTCTTCTCAAAGTCTAGGTCTACATTGGTTTGTTGCCTTGAGTTTTGATGGGTGTGGGTTTGCAGGCAAAGGCGAGAACCCTAAGAGGAACTTACATAGAAGTGAAAATGTAAGAAGTGGGCCAGCACTCTAGGGGCCACGCCAGGGAAGGCAGCCAGCAGAGTCTGGAGGTACACCTCCAGATCCTTCTCCCTTTTTTCCACCAAGCTTCTGGAATTTTTCCCAATTATCTTTTTGGGAGGAAGTAGATTCTTATCAATCTTTCTCTCTGCAACAAGCTGTAAGAAAAGACAAGCATATCAACCACATACCAAGTAGCTCTGAGCCTATAAAAGACCAAGGTGAGGAGCAGAGGGCAGGCACTTGTCGTTAACTTCCACAGCCCCTCCTGGCAGCAGTACCAGGGTTGGTGACCCACCTAATGCACTTGGAATTTAGTATTAGAGATATCAATACAATTCCAGATGAGGAATTCCATCTGGAGACTTTGCAGATATTCAGAAAAGCAACACTTCTGGGCCCCTAAAATTGCCATCTTTTTCAAACCAAGATGAAAACCAATTGAGGCAGTGATGTGTTTTTAAAACATTCTCACTGCAAATGACCCAGGGAAAAGCAGCTCTCTCTAAAAGCAAAAAATGGAATCACAGCCTGATATTAAAGTACAGGCTCTGGAATAGCTATATTAGGTGGAAAAAGTTCAAACTTGTCCCCTTTCCAGGAAATTGTCTCATATCCGAGCTAGGACTGGCAATTTTAAAATCAAAATTCAAATATCTCCTTATAGATTATCTCATATTGGAGCCAAACTCCTAGGATCCACAAGCTCTTTTGTCAGTTACATTAATAAACTGATTTTTTAGAAGAGCTGGTTTTGCCCTAAAACTTACATGTGACACAATGGGAACTTGGCCTCCAAACCCCCAAGCCCTGAGACACAGGCTCCTACTTCCTAAGGGTTACCTTTTCATGCAGGTCATGGAAGTCACTGTAGCGGTGCTTGACTGTCCACTCATGGTTGCCATCGGTGACCTGTATGATATAAACCTAAAGAGAGAAGATCATTGTCCTTGTGGCAAGAGAAGCCAACCAACAACAAGGAGTCCCCTGTCCCCACAGCAATAGCTGTAGGCCCTCTCCAAATGACTGTCTTCACCCACCAGTCTCTGCTCTGACCTTTGTTGAGCAGCAGGAATCCCTCTTGGCCTCCTCCACAGCCCTAGCATTAGGTCTGGGAAGCATATGGGACAAGCCTCCGGCTTCAATCATCAGAAAGAAAAAGGTGACTCTACCACTATAAGGCACCTCTTTAGGTCTTTTCTTCTTGTTTCCAGGTAATTCAAAACCCAACTTGAATTACCTTTTCAAGGGAGGCAGAGTAGGGGCAGGTCTAACAGGACCAGCTTCTCTGCTGTATCTCTTTTCCAGGGGCCCTGGCTGTATCCTGGAAGCAAATCCTTTTCCAACCCTTTCAATTTGATCATAGCTATGACTTCTGTTGCTCCACCAGGAGTTTAGACACCATGAAGCTACTATCGGAAGCAGTGGTGGACAATTAGCCCAAACAGGAGGCAATACAGTTTAGCCGTTTGAAAAAGGCCTGGGTTTAAGTTGGGGCTGTGGTTCATGCCTGTAATCCCAGTGCCTTGGGAGGCTTGCAAGAAGATTCAAGATGCTTTGGGGTTGTGGCTCAGTGGTAGAGCACTCGTCTAGCATGTGCAAGGCCCTGGGTTCATAAAAATAAATAAATTAAAGATATTGTGTCCAACTACAACTAAAAAATATTAAAAAATAAATATTAAACAAGAACTTTGGGTTACTTCTCCCAACTTCATACTCTTTCATCAGGAAACAGCTTGGAAATATTATCATCCATTTTAAAAAAAAAAAAGAAGATTCAAGTTCAAGACCAGCCTCAGCAACTCAGCAAGACCTTCAACTAATTTGTAAAACACTGTCTCAAAAAATAAAAAGGACTAAGGATATAACAACTCAGAGGTAAAGCGCCCCTGAGTTCAATCCCCAATACCAAAAAACAAAGCAAACAAACAAAAAAACCTGGATTCAAAACCTGTTTCTGCCATTTCTGGGCTGTGCCTTATACATCACTTATGTAAGTGATTGGAGCCAAAGCTCTTTCAGAGCCTCAGTTCCTCCATCTTAAAATCTGCTAGGATTAAGGATCAAGTAAAGCAATACATATAAAATGCTTTGTGCAGGGTTTGACACCTAACAAAAGATGGGTGTTAATAACATCCAACTGGGCACACTCAGGGACAGATGATGGTAGGGTAAGACTGGATTACAGACCTCCCCTTTCAGAGTCAGAGGGGCAAAGCCCTGAATATGGAGAGCTTTTTGAAGATCCAGCTGATTGTAGCCAATGGGTGATAGCCAGCCATCAGCTCAGAGACCTCATCCCTCAAACCCCATCCCCCACCCCTACTAGTTTTCAGACCCTCTTTACCGCAAGGAGGAGGAGGAGGAAAGAGTCAACTCTGCTGAAACCTCTAGCCCTGAGCAGCAGCCATTTCTCCAGGACCAGCCTGTTGCTACAGATCCACCCCCAACCTGTATTCCATTCTGGCAGCTTCCTACCCTTACTCCCAGGAAAAGAAAAAGAGCCAGAGGGAAGACCCTAGGGTGGGGGGTTAGGATGAGGGCCAAGGGAGGGGCCCCCTCCCCAACATCCAGGGAACAAAGGACAGGAGTTTGGGAGATGCTCAAAGAGCCCCCACCCCAGAGCAAATTTTTGCCAGGCAGCCCATTAGGCTCAAAGGCCTGGCATCCAACTCCACCCAGATTCGTTGAGAGTCTTCAGCCCCACTGCAGTCGGAAACTACGCCCGCCTTCTGTACCCTCTCCCTCATCCCTAGAAGTGTGTGGGGAGGCGGCTTGCTGCCTCATCTGGCCTCCACAGCCCAAAGCCAAGAAGGCCCCTAAGGATTTGTAGGTCTTGCACTTCAGCTCAGAGATCCTCCCCCCTCCCCCCATTTCCCTTGGCTGGGTTCCACTCCTCCCAGGATCTGGTCTCCGCCCGACCCGTAGGGTCGGGGGGCCCCAGCTCTTTCCCTCACTTCACCCAGCAGATCCCGACCCGCGCCCTCAGATCGGGACCCCGCCCCCTCTCCTTCACCACGCTCCCCCTGGGCCTTGACCCCTTCCCCGGATTCCATCCATCAGGACCCCCTTCCCCAATCCCTTCCTCCCAGACCCCCTGTCAAGGCCTCGCAGCCAGCACACCTCCAGACCAGGAGGATCTCGATGGGCTCCGCCTCATCTACACATCCCTCCTCCCCAGGCCTCCTTTATCCCCAGATCCCCTCCAACCCAAGTCTCGTTTTCTGACCGCGTACCCTTCCAAACCCCCTCCCCGGGCCCGCCCTAGAACCCTCCTGGCCCTGCGGGGACCCAGCGCTTTCCCTCGACTCCCCTACCACAGGTCCCGTAGTCAGAATCGCAGACCCCTCCCCAAACCCATGGACTCGGATTCCAGGTTCCCATCGCCATCCCCTCTTTAGGTACCCGCGTCCCCACCACACCGTGTAAGTGTCCACGAGCTCGGAACCCACGACGCGCGCCTCTTTGGCCGGCTCGGCCTCGCGCTCCGGCCCGAAGCTACGCGCTGCCGTCGCCGCCATGTTCCGGGCTCCGCCACCACAGCAGCCGCTCGGCGCAGACTGGCAGCAGCAGGGGGCGGGGTCAGCGTCCCACCGCCCCCCGGCCCCCGCCGCCCCCCGCCCGCGCCGCACGCCGCGCCGCCATCTTGGCTCCACTGCTTTCTCGCGCCCTCGTCCCTCCTCTCGCACGTAATTGACAGGACCTCCAACGGCGCGCGTGCGCAGCTCTTGCGGGCCGGCTCGCTTGTGTGGTCGCTTCCTGCGGCGCTCCGCGAGCGATAAGCTTGAGACCCTGTGCTCAGGCCGCTGTGATGGTCGTTCCTTGGTCCTCAAGAAGGTCCTGGGCTTCCCGAGCTACTCGAAGCAAGTCCCTGCTCCGCCTGGTCTCAGTTTTACCCCTGGAAGAGGAGGGCAGTCATTGCGCCTCGCCTGGCTGTTGGGTTCATTCCCCGTGGGGCAGGAGAGTGTTGAAGGAGCTGTGCTGAGGGCCCCCGGGGAGGGCCAAAGTGACTGCGCCAGTTCTTAACCTCTGACACTCGGAGATCTCCTCCGTCACATACAGCTTGCGGAGAATTGAGTGGGTTAATTCATGCAGTGCTCACAAGCAGGAAGCTCGTATCAAGGTGGGATCTGTATGAAGCAGGGGTGTAGGTGGAGTGAAGGGGTGTGTGCTCGCCATTGGGCATATGTCCCACAGATGATGGCCCTGGGCCCAGGAACGATAGTGCTCCAGTCAGGAAGCAGCCCTCCAGGGGAAGACCTTGAAGAAGGAGGTGGTAACCCAACTGGAGGATGAGGAGGGAGACAACTGGGCGTAGATGGGCTCTGTAGGGGTATTTGTTGAGTGACTGAATGTAGCTGATTCAAGCCCAAAGTGAGCACTGCTATCCTCCAGGAGATGAAATGTCTGGAGCAGGGCACCTCTGATTAAAGGGCTCCAGACCACCCTGTACTAAGGTGGGTCGTCAACTTCTTTGTCATTAGATCCGTATCACCATGCGCTGAACTTGGCATTTGAAAAGCTTCTCTTGGTAAGGCCTTATAGTCACTGCAACTCTTTGCACGTTGACCCCGCTCCCACCGTTCCACCAGAGGTATAGCATAAGGGGGCAGGGTGCCAAGTCAACCAGATCTTGGGTAAATCGCCACTGCTCCAGGAGCCTGTTTCCTTATCTGGAAAGTGAGGGTGATAGCATCCACCTCCCTGATGGATAGAAAGTTGCAATTCTGTGCTTAAGGGCCTGGCCTGGGGCCCACTACTCGGCAGTTCTTGCCTGAGTCTGGGCTCAGGTTTTCATTCATTCAAGAAACGTTTCCTGAGAACCTCCTGTGGGGTATGGTGGACAGAGGGCAAGAAATTTGGTCCTTGTACCCCCTTCTTGGTCCTTGTAGCCCTTCATCCCTCCCTGCCCTGGGCAGAGGATACAGGGACTCAAGCCAGCCTGAGATCACCAGGACCAGGGGAGGGGGTGGAGGATACTCAGTGGTGGGCTGGGCTGGGAATGCAACGGGGCAGGGCTATTTAAGCCGATGCTGGAGGGCTGGCTGGGAACCCAGGAGCCTGTCCTGTGAGTTGCCAGCATGGATGACATCTACAAGGCTGCGGTGAGAGACGGGTTTGGGCAGGGCTGAGACCCACTGGGAGCTCATTTAGCTTAGAATGGAGGGCAGGGTCTTCCCAGGGAAGTGATGGGGTCCTGAGAGAGCCCACAGATCTTTAGCCTAGGCTCTCAAGGGGATGGGGAGGCCCGTGTTCCTGTGTGCAAAGGAGGTGAGAGGTTCAGGGTCTGGAGAGGAGATGTCAGGGTGGGCAGATGAGGAGGTCTCATCTTTTAGCATCCAGTCTCCTGCTCTGATTCCAAGTGTCTGTGTCACTCTGTTTCAGCCACATCTCTACATTTGTCTCTGTTCTCTGAATCTTTTTTCATCTTTCTCAGTCTCTTTTCATTTCTTTGTTTCTCTTGAGCTGTTTCTCTGAGTTCCTGTTGCTGCCACCCTGTCCCCACTCCCCATTTTTACCCCTCACACTCTGCTTCTCAGTCATTCACAATCTGCCACCCACTTCCAGCCCCTTAGCTGACTGAAGATGCTTTGGAGGGTGGGAGGGGGATTGTGAGGAGGTGCTGTGTAATCTGAATCCTGGGCTGGAGAAGAGGTTTTGAAGTTCCAGATAGGGAAGGATTGGGCCTGGGGAAGGTGAGGGAAGAAGGAAGAGAGAACTAAGTCCATAGCTGTCTTAGGGTCTGGAAGGCCAAGGGCTCAGTGGCTTTACTGGGTGAGAGAGAAAGGGCTGGTGAGTGGACACCCCAAGTCCCTGCAACCTTCTAGGGTTCATTGAGGGGCTTCAAATGCTGGGTGGGTGGTAGCCTCCCCCTTCTCCAGAGACAAGGACATTCAAGAGATAGCTGTTTCCAGGAGATCCCCCTCACCCCCGAAAATATGGTCTGACTTCTGGACAAGGAAGGGTTACAGCTGGCTCCAGGGGTGCCCCTGCGTATCCTTGGGAGTCCATGGAGCTGGGGAAGGGAGCAGCCCTCCACTCAGTGCCCATACAAGGCTTGGCGGGGCTGGGGACTAATTTTGGCTCCCGAGGCAGCACCAGCAGGCCAGGGGGCCAGATAACGCTGCCCCACCCCCTGCATGCCAAAGTCCCAGAACAATCACCAGGTTTAACTTTGTCCCCTGGTAAAAATAGCCCAGTGGCCACCCTGGTCAGGTTACAGTGGGTGGCTTTGCTCAACCCCACATTGGTTTTATTGTCTCAACCTGAGGGACAGCTGTCCCTCAGGCCATGCAGCTTGGATTTCATTAGGGTGGCTGAAAGGGCAGGGGAGTGGTCATTGGGTATTGTTACTCAGGGGTCACCTTGGTCCTGGAAGGGGTGTCCACCTGTCACCCTGGCCCTGAGCCTAGCCCCTTTGAGGCCAGCTGGGTCACCTTAGGACCTTGGGGGCAGGAAGGGAGGACTGTGGCCTCCTCTGGCTTCAGTCTTCCTGCCTATGGAATGGGTTGGTTTCCTTGGCAGCAGCTAAGGACTGAGTCTGAGTCCTGAGACTCCTTTCCCTCTATAGGTAGAGCAGCTGACAGAAGAGCAGAAAAATGGTAAGTGACCCCTGTGTTGCATATTGGGGTATAGCAAGGCCAGGCTGGGGGAATCAGGAGAGATCCCTAGATTGGAAATGAAAAGCTGGGGGTCCTTTTCACTGTGACCTCAGAAAAGTCTCAGAAAGGAGATTGGCAGGTGGCCCCAGGGATCTGGCTTTCTGGGGTCCTGGCTATTGAGCCCTGATTGCTCTGTTCCCCCAACCCCTGCCATTGGATGCAGAGTTCAAGGCTGCCTTTGACATCTTTGTGCTGGGTGCTGAGGATGGCTGTATCAGCACCAAGGAGCTGGGCAAAGTGATGAGGATGCTGGGCCAGAACCCCACACCTGAGGAGCTGCAGGAGATGATTGATGAAGTGGATGAGGATGGTAAGCCCCTGTGCCCTCCAGACCCATAATTCTCTGGCTCACTTGAGAGTTTAAATACAAGAGCTGTTTTGCCTCTCTGAGCCTCAGTCATCTCATCTATAAAGTGGGCATAATAACCACTCGAGCCTCACAGAGTTGGAGAGAAGCCTGGGTTTGTGTGGAGGGCAGGCCGACTGAGGCCTCTCTAACAGCCATACTGCCAACCTCCAGGCAGCGGCACAGTGGACTTCGATGAGTTTTTGGTCATGATGGTTCGATGCATGAAGGACGACAGCAAAGGGAAGTCTGAGGAGGAGCTTTCTGACCTCTTCCGCATGTTTGACAAGTGAGCACTGGCACTTGACTTCTCTCCCTGACCCAAACAGAGCTGGGAAAGAGGGACAGTCTCAGATTCCAAGCCTGGGAACTCAGTGGCTTCCATCTCCCGTTCTGTGTGATAGGGCACAGGGATGCCCCGTATGCTAGTTCCCTTTGCCCTGCCTCCTGGGTTTGGAGGTGGGACTGGCTCACTGCTGTGTCTAGCCTTGCCCTGGGCTCTGAGGTCCCCCTCATCCTCCCTACAGAAATGCTGATGGCTACATTGACCTGGAGGAATTGAAGATGATGCTGCAAGCTACAGGTGAGACTATCACGGAGGACGATATCGAGGAGCTCATGAAGGATGGCGACAAGAACAATGATGGTCGCATAGACTATGATGGTGAGTGGCTGGATGGGTAGGCCAGATCCCCCTGCTGTCCATGCCCTGTCAGGCCCCTACCTGTAACCCACACCTTCCTCTCTCTCCACAGAATTCTTGGAGTTCATGAAGGGTGTGGAGTAGACATTGACCTTCACCTGGAGCTGCCTGTGCCCACCTTCCCACCGCAGCTGGGGCCTGGGGTGGAGGCAGGGGATAGGGACCCCATTCCCTGAACCTGGGTGTGTCCTTGACCCCTGGCCCTCCCTGACTCCCTCCTTCACCCTGTCCTGGGGAATGCAAATAAAGCCTTGCTGCCTGGGGGCCTGGTGTCTGGCTCTGATGTTCACTGGAGCTGTGGACTCTTCCCAGGGTCCCTTCCTATCTCACAAGGCATTCGGGGTGGATGCAGAACCTGTGCTCTGACTGCTGTGCCGTCTGCCTTCTGCAGATCAGAGCCACCCAGGCTCTGTGTCTTACTGACTGCTTTCTGTAGTTGCTAGTGCCCAGGTCCCATGGGCAGCAATCCAGCCTCTGCAGGCTGTGGCAAGCCTGGAGTCTGAATTTTAACAAGCTCATGGAGTGTTACCTGATCAGCCAGTTCAGCAGCCTACAAGTCCTCCATGTGGAGAGAGCAGTTAGCTGCATTAGGCCCTAGATGTCCCTTGGTACAGCAACCCCAGTGACCTCTCAGCCTTCAGGGACATATTGTCTGCTTTCTATCCTCTCACCCATTTTACAGGTGAGGACCCTAAGGCTCAGAGAGCCAAGGTCATCTAGTGAGTCTGCAGGAGAACCCAGCCACATGACTTCTAGAACAGGCCTCTGTTAGATTATCCAGGTCCAACTGGGCCTAATTCCAGTTTTGATGAACCTCAGAGGCTCCCATCTCCCTCTCTGACAGGAAATGGAGGCCTGAAGCCTGATGGCTCTCAGCTTAGTGGAGGCACCCAGGCCAGAGCTGCAGCTAGAACAGTGACACTGGCCTTAGGGAGGGGAGTTGGGGGTTGCAAGGAAGTAGAGGTGTCCACAGTGGTGCTTACAGGAGGGACAGCTGCCATCGGCACCCAGGCTTCAGCCAGAATGCTAGCAGCTGTCCTTGCTCCACCCAGCTACCCCGTGGCCTCTGCACCTGTGCCCCAGTCTAGGCATTTTCCAGACAAGCTGGGCATTCCAGAGGCAGTCTTGGAATTCTAGAGATGCCTCTGAGAGGCTAGAGCTGGCAGGAGCCGCTGGTCCCTGGGGAGACCTGGGAAGAATGAAGAGAGGTCTCCTTAGGCCTATTGTTGAGAGGGATGACACAGTGGATGGACCAGCCAGCCAGTGTATCATCTAATGGTTTATTCACACACCATTGTGTGTGCCACGAGTCTGGATGCTGGGACACATCAGAGCAAGGCATAATCCCTTATCTCACGGAATTTCTAGTCAACTCGGATAACAAAAGGAGACAAGTGCAACGAGGAAACCAGACCAAGGCTGGCCTGGCACAGTGGGCTGTGACATTGAACCAGCAGGCAGGCTTTCTAGAGCAGGTGACACTGAGCAAGGCCTGAAGAACCAGCCATGGGAGAACATATGGAAAGACTCAAGAGTCTGAGGAACAGAAACGCATGTTGAGCTGGAAGCCAAGTCCCAGAAGCCTCTGGGAGAGGTGGACAGTGCCAGGTCCTCTGAGAAACTCAGCCCATGTGAGGGGTGAGGTGCTCTTCGGGCTGCAGAAGGAACCAGGAGGCCAACCTGAGGCTGGGGCAGTTCTGGGTGAGAAGGCCTGGTGGCTCTTGGTACAGTGGGACGCTGGGATGGAAGATTGGAGGTTGGTTTGTAGATTCAGGGCACATTTTGGAACTAGAATGGACAGAACTTACTGAAGGAATGAAAGTGATAAGTGAGAAACTAGAGAGTCAATAGTGACCCTTAGATTTTGGGTCTAATTGCCATTTCCTGACACGGGTGTCTAGAAGGGGGAACAGGTTCAGCTCAGGGATATCGGGAAATGGAGGTTACTTTGTGTTAGTTTTTTTTTTTTTAATACTGGGGATTGAACCCAGGGGTGCTCAACTACTGAGCCATATCCCCAACCCTTTTTTTTAATTTATATATTTTATTTAGAGACAGGGTCTCACTGAGTTGCTTAGGGCCTCACTAAGTTGCTGAGGCTGGCTTTGAACTCGTGATCCTCCTGCCCCAACCTCCCAAGCTGCTGGATGGGATTACAGGCAGGCTCCACTGTGCCCAGATTTACATTAGGTTTTTTAAAATATATTTCATTTTGAAATTCCAGACTGATTGCAAAAATAGCACACAAAACTCCCATTTACACTTCAGCCAGCTTCCCTAAAGTTTAACATTTTCAATAACCACAGGATAATGATCAAACCCAGGAATTAACATGGACCCAACACTACTAATTCACCTATGGATCTTACTGAAATTTTGTCAGTTGACTTACCAAAGTCCTTTTCCTGGACCAACCATTCAGAGATCACATTGATGTGTGACCCAGCCATCCTATCTCTTTACTCTCCACCAACCTGCAGCCTTTTCTGCCTCCTCACCCTTAAGACCTTGACACTTTTGAAAGATCCAGGCCAGTTATTTTGTGGAATGTTACTCATTTTGAGTTTATCTGCTGTTTCCTCAGGGTTAGGTTCAGGTGAGGTATTTCTAGTGGGTTCGACACAGGAAAGGTAGAGAGTTTGTTCAGTCAGAGTTGAGATGCCTCGAAAACAAATTGATGGGAAGGCCAGTGCCAGGTGGGAGTTGAGGTGGGGGAGTAGAGCAAGAGCTGTGATTACAGGTGTCATCCAAGTAGCAAGCCCTTTCCTAGAGTTGGTCATGAATGAGGACCCCAGGGAGAGTTCATACAAAGAGGTGGTAGAGGACTGGGTGCCTGGCACCCCAGAGACAAATGGGGAGGACACATTGCCAGTGGAGTGAGAGAGACCCTTAGTGAATGAGAGGCTCAAGAACCAGGAGGGATGGAAGAAGGCACGGGCTTCAGCTGATGACCCTGGCGGGGGTGGGAAGTTGGAGGCTCCAGACTTTGGCCACATGCAGTAGGCCGAAAGCCCAGCTGGAGAGGACAAAGGGGAGTGAGCCAGGACTAGGAAAGATGGCAGTGTGGACAACTCCCAGGAAACAGGAATGGGCTGGGCTGAGGGTAAGTGTCGGGTCCAGGGAAGCATGCTTAAGGAAGGGGTGGGCTGGGGAATGGCTACTATGCTGATAGGAACAACTCAGCAAAGTCAGGAAAGGGGTGGTGCAGATACAGAACAAAGCTGCCACAAGCCAGCAGTGCGGGGACTCTGGGTGGTGTTTGTCAGAGTCAGTTCAGTGCTGGGCAAGGAGATGGGGGTGCTTGAGGCAATGAGGGCAACCAGTCTCCTTTAGTGAAGGACCATAGCAGTGGGTATACTAAGGTATAGACCATGGTATCCAGAGGAAGAGATGGACCAAGAGACATGTGGAAGGCTATGTCTCTCTCTTTTTTTTTTTTTTGGTATTGGAGATTGAACCCAGGGGCACCTAACCACTAAGCCACATCTTCAGCAATTTTAATATTTTATTTAGAGACAGGGTCTTGCTACGTTGCTTAGGGCCTTGCTAAATTGCTGAGGCTGGCTTTGAACTTGCAATTCTCCTGCGTCAGCTTCCCAAGCTGCTGAGATTACAGGCATGCTCCACCATGCCTGGATGGCTGTGTCCTTCTTGGTGGCCACTTGAAGGGTGAATGACTGAGGTAATTGGCTGTGAGTAGAACAATGACTCAAGAGGCTGGGGTGGCCAGGGGGTATGGGATGCTGATGGGATTGGGGAGGGGAAGAGTCAAGCCCCCTGTGGTGGAAAGAAGAGGATGGGTAGGCCAACGGCAGAACTGTCAGGAAGGGCCAGGAGCAGGAAGGAGGGTCCTTCATCATTTATTGCCTCTCTCTTCATCAGCTGTCACAGAGGGAGACAGGTGCTGGGAGAGGGAAGGAGATGACATTCCCAAGTTCCAAAGGACATTGGGAGATTGGGGAGGGGGCTGGAGTTGTATGGAAGGCCAAATGGGGGACTCACCCATTGGGAGGGAGGGTACCCCATGGAGGTTGTCTTAATCTCTTTTTCCACCAATGAGGGAAGGGTCTGGCAGCATCCATTCCTTCCAGTCAGGCCCACCAGAAATTCTACCAGGGAGTGGCTGGGCTGCAACCCTTCACCACCTGCTGCATAAATATGCACATCATACATATGTGGCCAAGAGCTCCTGAGCTCCCACCAGCTCATGGTACACTGCCTCCTATAAACATCATCTGGTTTTTATCTATCTATCTATTTATTTATTTATTTTTGCTGGGTTTAGTCCTGTCCACTTCTGAGCCAAGGATAGTGCTTCTTCCATAAAGCCTCCCTTGATTTCTCACATCAGAAGCAATTACTGGAGCATCTCCCACTGCCCCTGCCTCTTTGTACTGTGCTTATTTATGGTTACTGCCTGCCTCCCCAAGAAGCTATGTTTTACTGGTGGTGAGGCCCTGCTGCCCAGCACAATCTGCTTGGCAGAATCAACAAGCTGCTCTTGGGCCTCAAGCAGTTTCCCATTTTCCCACTAGATGGCAAACAATGCATGTGTTTGGGCCCACTGGTATGAGACTTTGGAGCTGTTGGGGGTCTGTTTCCTACCTGCAGGCAGCAAGCAGGGGACTTTTAGAGGAGATTATTAACCCCTTTCTAGTTAGGGAAACTGAGGTCCATAGCGAGAGAGGACCTGAGCAAGGCCTCACAAGTCAACAGAGTTTGGTCTTTAAGCCCCTGCCATGTGTTCTTACTGCATGGAGTGGGTTGTCCCCTGCCCCAGTAGACACAGGCTTCCCTGCAGCCCCAGCTGGGGGCCTGGCTGAGCAGAGACCCCCAGGGTGGGCTGGCAGACTGAGGAGTGATTGGGCTTCCAGCTGGCGGCCACGTGCTGGCTGGAGGGCTGTCCGGATGGTTCCCCAGCTAGATGTTGGCCCCCATCCTGGGATATATGCCAAAATGTCTCCGCAGGGAAATAGAGGCAGAGGGCTCTTCACAGAAGTTCCAGGATCTAATCACCACCACAGCAGCCCTTGCACAAGAAATGCTCATGGATTTATGTAGCCCTGTTTCATCCAAGGTGGCTGGGCCCCAGCTCTGGGAGGAAAAGGCAGACCCAGAGAGTGAGTGCTTTGGTTAAGGTTCCCCAGCAAAGCCAGAGAAGGAGTGGGCTGAGTCCAGTCACTGGTCTCTCTGAGCAGCCTCTGGCCCATTTCCAAATAAGATCCCCCATCCTGGGAGGAGGCACATATATG